TAATATCTGCAGTTTCCACTTCGCGTCGTCACGAAGTCTCCGCAAGCACAGTTACAGCCGTAAAGGTTTTTCACGTCTATGCCGGCAGATGTGAAGCCCGGTAATAAGTCAGCTACGGTCAGCATCAGCGCCGACAAGTGAGGCGATGGCGTTATCTCCGATCTCCTCAACAACCTTCGCGGCATCGACTGGGGCGAGCAGCCCAAACGACATGCGCCAATGTCCGCCAGTTTAATTATCGACTTCATACGACCAGTTGTATGCCGCCGGTCGATCACCGTTGCGTGTCGTTCATGCCGTCACTCGCAGGTAAAGTCGGCGGGCCGGTATCAGCTGAATCTTCGCAAAGTCAATCGAAAGCGAGTGAAAGCGAGTTTGCGACGTCATATCGGTTAATATACCAATATATCGGTGACTAAAACTGTTCTGGGGCTCTGTTAATAATATTAGGCCGTGCACGGATGAACCAGCATAAATGAGGCAAACCATTTCGTTTATCGACATCAAGGGTATTTTGATCAACAATGAAAGGTGAACGTTCGATATTGGTTCACATTACCTGCATGATCTCTATCTGATTTGGTACCAGATTGCGGAAGTATCGTCATTTCACGTTGCCATCTCGAGGCGTCAGCCACGGGATCACCAGCCCGGCTCGGCTCAAACTGTCACTGGGTCAAAACATTCATCTATTTACAACACTGGTCGAAATCGAATTTTGAAAATGAACAAATGAGAACCGACATTAGTAAAAAGATCCTTCATCGTTTCGGACATCACTATCCCTGCGAATAACACAGTCGCTATGCATCGATGCTGACCCCCGACCTTCATCACATTAAAACGGAGATTCAATATTCGCAGTTATTCATCATTGCAGCATTCACCGTTTGCCAAGGATGCCTGCGCCAGTTCGTCGCCCGGAGGGCAAGCAAAGAGAATTCGAAAATGATATATTGTTTGAGTATTTAGATGGTTTTTAATATATGCCGTGAGTTTGCTTTTCTGCTGTGAAAATAGAATCTGTCGCCTCGGTGAACAAAGCCATCCTGATCCACAATTCAGTCATGATTATATTCATGATATTTCATTTCACCGATTATATTCTTGTTTTCATTACCGCTCTCGATTTTGCCGCGAGTGTGCGTCGACTGTGGCTCCGCTCAATGTCAAGGAGACGGGAAGGAGATATCCGTCGCCAGCAGAACAGTGCAGCTCAGGCGGAATGAAGAGAAGGTTTTCTGCGTATGCCCCTTCGAGCAGAGGGGATATCAAAGTTATGAGCGTAGGTTGTGATTTTATATATACTTGTAATATATTGTAAAGATATACGCGTTGTTATCAAACAATCAGGAGAAGTTCGAAAGACCTGAAGACAAAGCCCAGACCTGGTAACAGAATCGCGCAGCAGAAGCCAACCATAATGGAGCCATATCGAACGACCAGTGATCATATATTGCAAAGATACCCCTCATTTTTGAATGAGATCATCGAGCGTTTCAGGCTATTTATTTTTTTAGGATCTGACATAGAGCAGGAGCCAAAGTTCTTGATAACTTATGGTATGAAACAGGTTCATGAGGTTTTTGTTTTTCACAAAAGCTTGACTTAGAAATTTTAAGACGACCATTTATTTATTTTATTTAAATGACAATGTAATGTTGTTCATTAAGGCTATTTATAGAAATATTAAAATATCCATTAAATGATTCATCAACTGAATCGTTTAAAACTTTTTGATAAATTATTTATCTTTCAAATAGTAGACAGTATAATACTCCTGAATATCAGAATAGGGTAGGAACGGGATTCTGGCTTCCGGATTGCAAGGCCGTTTACTCAATTTATAGCCACCTCTTTTAAATGACAGACAATTTCAAGTCCGAGTGGGTTCTACCCTGTCTGATCATTACAGTCAAGAACAGGGAGTCCCACAAGGCAGTATTTTGTCTGTCACACTATTTAGTATAAAGATAAATAGTTTATCAAAAGTTTTAAACGATTCCAGTTGATGGATCGTTATTTCAGGATGATTTTAATGTTTCATGTTGTTGTAAAAATATGCATACTATTGAACGGCAATTGCAGTTATGTTTAAACAAAATAAATAAATGGTGTCTTGAAAACGGCTTTAAATTTTCTAAGTAAAAACTAATTGTATACACTTTTGTAGAAAATATAAGCTTCATAGGTTCCTGGACCTAAATTTAAAATGGCACTGCCATCAAAGTTGTTAAGGAAGCTAAGTTCTTGGGTCTACTTTTTGGACTCCCATTTAACGTTTCTTCCTCATATCAAATCCCTAAAACTAAATGCCTTAAGGCGCTCGATTTATTGAAAAGTCGTGTCTCATTCAAAATGGGGAGGGACTAACTGTTCCTCTTGCAATTATATATAGATCACTGGTCCGTTCGAAGCTTGATCATGGCTCCATTGTGTATGTTTGAGTCTGCAAAGCAACCTAAAACTACTTGATTCTGTATCCACCACCAAGGTCTAAGACTTTATCTTGGGTCTTTTCTTGAGCTTCTCCTGTTGGCAATGATCTCTATGTCGGAGTCAGATGAGCCATCTCTTCCATTAAACGCCGTACCAACCATTCTTTACAATATATTACAAAATTATGCTCTCACAAAATCTAACCCTGCATATAACTGTGTCTTCAATCCCCTCTATGAGGATTTATGCACCAAGAAACTTTCTCTTGTTCCACCTCTTGGGCTCCAGAATTAACCCTTTCATTTCTGCTGCCGGCATTGAGCTGGACAATATATCTCCTTCCCGTCTTTTTCTTCTCCTCCTCCTTGGCAATTGGTTAGGCCACAAGTCGACCTTACACTCACTAACTTTTAAAAAATCAGAAACTAATGATTTACAATATAAACAAGAATATAATCAATTAAAAGTAAATATCATAGATATAAATCCTTATTTACAGGTGGATCCAAGGATGGTGGCGCTGTTCCTTGCGCCACTGTCATTGATCTAGAACAATCTCTTCTAGATTACCAGGCGATAGTTCTATTTTCACAGCAGAAACAAACGCCATATTCACAGCGCTTAGCTATATTAAAACCATCCTAAATATAAACAATATATCATTTTTCAGATTCTCTTTCTTGCCTCCAGGCGGTAAAGAAACTCTTTCTTGCAAACATCCACTCTTAATAGAAACAATTGAATTATACAATGAGCTTGCTACTGGCCAATGCGACATCGTCCTGTGTTGGTTGCTTACCCAGCCATGTTGGCATCTCTGGGAACACAATGGCCGATCTTGCTGCTAAGGCAGCGCTCAACAAAATTGTGACACCACTTCTTATTCCATACTCTGATTATAAATCTAACATCAGATCTTATATCCGTGACCTGATGCAGAAGAAGTGGGACACTCAAGTAGTCTTAATAAGTTACATGCTATAAAACCTTATATTGGTTATAATCACTTGGGTTGTCAGTCCAGATTTGAGAAGAGGTCATTATGCGACGATGTCGCATTGGCCCATACTAGATATACTCACGAATATTTATTGAAAGGCGAGGATCCTCCGTTTTGTATCCCTTGTGATGAAAGAATCAGAGTCAAGCATGTCCTGCTTGACTGTGTTGAATATTCCATCACAAGGGATAAGTATTTCAATGTCAAAACATTGAAGGATCTTTTTTATAATGTCAGTTCTCATTTGATTATTGCATTTTTAAAAGAATTCGATTTGTTAAGTGATTTGTAAATAGATAAATATTTTATTATTGGTAGTTTGAATTAGTGAACTGAGATTGTTAGTGGCTGTACCCTCAAAGGGGGTTGAAGTAGCGTAAAATTATTGTCCTCCTGAGAGGGTAAATCCTGAGAGGGTATTGTCCTCCTGTAAATCCAGATAGGGTCCATGCAGGTAGCAAAAGTAATGTAAGTCCCCATGGGCCTTAGTATGGTGATCTACCTTCAGTTGTTGGCGATCTATAGCCAGTTTTTATATTGTATTGTCTTCGTCAATAAAATAGTTTTACATGTTCATGCTAGTTTTAGACTCCATCTGTGATACTCTAGTTATTTTACTGTCCTTCGTTGACAGGGTTTTATATATTATATGTATGTATTATAAATTTAGAACTAGTTTTAGTCACGATATGGCTGAAATATTGCCGATGTGACTTTAAATCTTAACTCACTCACTCACCTCGATTGAGCTTTTTGCGAAAGTTCAAGCTTTTTAATGTCCCCAGCCACCGGCCACACAACAGGTGGCAACATGAACGACCACACCAACCTGGTGTCCGGCAGACGTAGCTTGGCATACAGCAAATCGTATAGGATGTCGTCGTACATGCACCTGGCGGACATTTGGCACATGTCGTTTGAACCTAAATGGATCACTAGCCATTTGGGAGTGGTGTTACCCGCAGAAGCCAAGAGATTGTTAAGGGAAGATCGGAAGTGGCGCCATCGCCTCCCGCCTCGGACATGCCATCGTGTAGTGCCAAGACGTTGCAAATGTTGCTCCAAGCTCCCCCTCGCTCTGGCCATGTAGCTGTCACCAATTACCCAGGCCACATCTGTAACATAGATCGGACAGCAGAAAAAATTGCTACAACAATAGCTGTGCGCGACAGGCGAGTTCGGTGGTGACGCGAGAAGTGAGGAAACTCACCGTTATCCGTCGCGTGGTGTGATGACGTAGCAACTAATGACGTCATCTGTGACGTAATGTTTGCGGCTGCGCGTGCCAAGGTCATGTTTATAAACAAAGGCACGTGGTATGGCGACGCCAACAATAACACCGTTTGTCAATCTGTCACTAAGGAATCATTGACACAACCTAAAAACATGAAAACACACAATTATTACGTAAATGTTTTTGATATGCTGGAAATGTTTGAGACTCTGGAATGGGATGAGATAAGGATTTACTAACTTTAATGTAAGACCAAAATGAGATAAATTTCATCACTTTTTTAATAACCATTTTAATAATCGATCACAAATCCAACCTGGTGCTCCAGGTCAGACAGACCAACTGGTGCTGGACCCCCGCCTGTCTTGCAGCTCTCACGCCGCACATCAATGGCTTTCTTCTTCACCTGGGATCTGGAAAATGCCATCATTTATACTATAATGCAAATACAGCATAAAATTAGTTATCAATTTGTTTTCAAGTGTCCTAGTAAATCGCATTTATATCAATTTTCATGTAATTGACACATCTTTTTATTGCTGTGATGGCTTGCAACATTTTTATTAGGTTATACCTCATTATGTAAATATTTCTGAACATTAATGAAAACTTTATTTTCAAAAAGAATTATAAAAGAGGTGTTAATTGTATATAAAGGAATATATGGCTCTGTGTTACTGTGTGTAACAACGATATTCTATGTGTTAAATCTAATACTGATTTATTGTTAAAATATATATTTCAATCATTTGGGAAACAACAAAATGAGTGTTTTGTCATTTATCATCGTTGGTGATGATCAGGATAATTGCCACCTACAGTTGAAATCAAAATTATTCAACCCCTACTTCAAAGTCAGAATAATTTTGAAACTGTTAAAATCAATGAAATTATGACATTTTATTTAATTTACAATTTTCCTTTTGTGTTTGTTTGTTAAAAATACTTAAACCATACTTGTGTCACTATATCATCTGAGACAATAAGTACTGTCTCTGCAATAAATGTGATTGCATGTTTTGGCCATGAGGGTTGAATAATTCTGACTCCAACTGTACAGTAATTGGATGAAAAAAAATAAAAATTTCATATCAATAACAACTATTTTCAGGGTAAACCATACACATGATTATATTGAACTCTTGATGTGTCTGTATATTTCGAGTATGGTTTAAATTGTTGATAATTACTTAGCCAGTAGTAAAACACACATATATTAAACACAGCTTTGAATTGGCTATCGACATAAAGAAAATATGGTATTGACTCACTTGTAATCGTTCCATTTCTTCCGTATCTGGACTCCAGATCTCTGGACGGAGGAACAGGCGTTTAGTCTTAAAATAAGTAAAAAATAAATAAATGTAAATCTCTATGTTTATATGATTGATATTCACTTATATTATACAGGGTTCGTACAGGTCAAGGAAACCTGGAAAAGTTTTGGAATATAAAAATTTGACACATGGTGGGCACAAGTCTGCTGTGATTTTTCTAATAAGTACAATGTGCTATTATTTTTTTTATGTCATTTGGCTCATACAATATGTGTCCACTCAGAGTCTTATGGCCTTCAATTTCACGTTTAACAATTTATAAATGCACTGGGTCGCTGTTTGTCTTGTGATGGAAAAGCTGCGAAACATCCTGCAGAAATCACGGAAAAGTCATGGATTTTGATGGTTTTTCAAGTATATTAACCCTGATAATATAAGGGTTCTATAGGTTTGTTGTCGCTCATGTTCCAGACTAGTCAATACACATTTATAAATATTTACTTTCAATCGATGTTGAAAACGTTTTGTGATACCACCCGGAAGTAACACTTACTTGGTTGCGATTTCATCCCATTCCCGTATTTTGGCCGTGTTGGTTACTGTTGAGGAAAACGGGCCGAACAACACACTCTGTCGCGCCTTCACCTCGTCGGCTATCAAACTTATCTCGGAAGGAGAAAAGTTTGAATGCCGATTGCGCTTCCGCTAAGACATTGACATTTTGTCGTCTGCAGGTGTGAGCAGGGGAGATAATTCACGTGGTAACTAGGGACGCTTCCGTAACTCCAGCGCTGAAGAGTTCAGCCTTAGTTAAGGTTACGGCTAAGGTTCGAGTCCGACTTAAGGTTGCCCTAAGGTTGTTTTGTGCAACGGGCGTAACTTTTGTTAAGGTGATCGTAACTCTAACCTTAGTGTTTAAGGTTGACCTTAGCTAAGGTTGTTTTGAACAACGAAACCCTGAATGAGTTTTGCATACTACAGTGGTACAACAGGGTTTCTGGGTTAATCATAAGCAGCGATCAATGGACCACGACTTGGTGAGTCGATTGATATTTTGGTCTATGACTCCTGACACATACTGTAAATGTTGCTAAGTGAGGTATTAAACAACAACAACAACAGCATCCCCACCCCCATGTATGCGTGTACTAGTGTTTGAACTCATTATTGATCATATCACCAAATGACGTCATGTGTATATATGTTGTACATAACAGAAGATGCTGTTTTTTCTTTTCAGTATAATCCACTTTGGACACGATAGCATACGTGTCAAGATATCAACTACTGGGAAAGAACAAACATGGAATGAAAACCGAAATTGAACAGCTGAGGACATCCAAGGCACAAAGGGAAGAATACAAGCCAGATACTGTCAACACATCAAACATTAAGACTTTGTTCACATATCATACCGGATTACGTTTAAAACCTTTTAGTGTTTTTGCATCTCTGTTTTCCACTGATGTCAACCCTGTCCACTGCGCGGAAATATATAGAGAATCTCTCACCCCAGTCTCAATTAGTCTCCGCTATGTAGACTGCTAAATGGTTTCATTTGAAACATCACCTGTGTTGCATCACACGTATTTAAATTTAGGATATTTATCTTTATAGCCTCACAGGAGTAACATCATAGAACAGATGCCTGAGATTCTTAGAGAGAATTTCAAACTTCAATAGCTATTATTGACTGCACAGAAAGTAACAGAGAAACCATCATATTTTGACTCACAGTCTCCATGTTATTCACGGTATAAATCAAAGACAACGTTAAAATGTTTAGTTGAAATTGATCCTCGAGGTTCTATTATGTTTGTGTCAATGATATTTTCTGATTCCATTTCGGACAATGAAATATTTTAAGAGAGTGGAATTTTACACAATGCTTGAACAGCTAAAGGCAAATGGGTACATACATAGTGGCGATTTAATTTTGGCTGAGTAGGGTTTCCATGTTAAACCAAAGCATTTAGAACTGAACTTAAATTTTAATATCATTCCTCCTCTAGCATCCCCTGTTGCACAGATGACTGCTGGTGATGTGTGGCAGAGACAAGAAGAATTCCTCATCACAGGATACATGTCGAGAGCAATTAATAGAATTAAGAACTTAAAACTCGTTGGTAGAAGAGTGAGTTTAGTTTTACGCCGCACTCAGCAATATTGTAGCTATATGGCGGCGATCTGTAAATAATCCAGTCTGGACACACAATCCAGTGATCAACAGCATGAGCATGGATCTGCGCAATTGGGAACCGAAGACATGTGTCAACCAAGTCAGCGAGCCTGCCCACCCGATCCCGTTAGTCGCCTCTTACAAGCATGAGTTACTGAAAATCAATATTCTAACCCGGAGCTTCACGCGTACGTTGGTAGAAGAATACCCGTTAGTTTGTTTCATATGATCAATGAAATTTGGTATTTTTGTGCAATGCTGACAAACGTTTTACCTATACTAGTGAAGAAATGAAAGTTGTTCAACTGATATTTTGATAATGTTGTCATCAAACACTAAATACATTACTGCCCTCCGAAATGTAAGGATTTCAGAGTACAAAAGTTCAGTGCAAACTTTGACTACAACCTGCTGTAAAGCTCAAATGGGTTTTGCAGTGTCAGTTCCAACAGTTTTGGGAACAGTAATTTTAATCACGTAGATATAACTGAGTGTAAATGAAGCTCGGCTCATATACTCATGTCAATTATTCATATTAATTGTATACATTAATAATCTGTAAATGTAATAGGTTTTAGTACTATGATGTAAAGAATAATCCAATCTATTCAATGTATATATTCTGAGTACGGAAAACTGAATTATGCCTGTCGAAATGTTATTTTTCAAATTCAGATTCTAGGATGACATTTGTGAACATATTCTTAACTGCATTGCAGATTAATATTCCCTTATGTTTAATTGTGGTCTCTGATTCTGATCTGAGGATAATATTTTATCCTGTATTACAGATTGCCGTACAAAACACAGCATAAAGAATTGCATCCCTTGCCCCAGACAGGCACACATCACTCCATTACTCAAATCTCTTCATTGGCTTCCTGTTCACTTCCGTATCAAGTTCAAGCTCCTGTCCCTGACCTTCCAATGTATCTCCGGATCAGCTCCAGACTATCTCTGCAACCTTCTTCAGACATACCAGCCTGCTCGAACTCGCAGATCCCTGACTAAGTCTCTCCTTGTTGTCCCAAATACAAACACTGTCTGCTACGGTCACAGATCATTTGCATATGCCGCAGCAACTGAGTGGAATAATCTGCCTCAAGAACTCAAAGACTCTCAAACGTTGTCATCCTTTTTAATCCTTACTAAAACTTTCCTCTTCCGCCAAGCTTTCCCTGACTCTTAATATCAAACCATGTTTGTGCGCTTTGAGCATCCTTATGTTTGGAAATAGCGCTATATAAATGCACTATTATTATTATTATTATTATGTATTTGATTAACATTGCAAATAATCTTGAAGTGTGAAATGGTTTGTACAAAACCAATCACTTGCGCACAAGTTCCGGATGCTCTAAAAATAAGTGCACTTTAATTCATGTTCGGGTGAAAACATTTTTAAATAACGACTCTGTCTTGCTGTTGTTCCGTGACCAAACATAACGTCAAAATCTCTATCGATTCAAAGTTACTGACTAAATGTCATAAAAATGTCAAAATGAAGACGTTGTAATGATTAAGTATAATGTCTTATTATTACAAATTGATAAAATCATGAAATTGTCCAATTGGGTTGTGACCCGTGAAGGTCCGGGTTAGAATATTCATCTTCAGCAACCCATGCTAGTCGTAAGAGGCAACTAACCGATCGGGTGGTCAGGCTCGCTGACTTGGTTGCCACATCGGTTCACACTTGCGCAGATCCATGCTCATGCTGTTGATCACTGGAATATTTACAGACCGCCGCCATATAGCTGGAATATTGCTGAGTGCGGCGTAAAACTAACTCAGTCACTCACTCACCAATTGGGTTGTTTGTGGGTTTCTTGCAAAATCACTGTTATCAAACGAAGGCGCACTTTTACTCTTGACAATCTATTTAGAGACGAAGAAATGGCCTTGTCTTGTATGAAATATGCAAATCGACCATGTGCTTCTGTTTACAATTCCCATCAGAACACAGGGGAAAGTTCATTCGAAAGGTAAAGAGAAAAGTGTAAGTCACCCTGCCTGACATGTATATATAATGACTCGCTGTGATCCTCTTCTCAGCCTCCACACTGGTGCTGTTGACTGTATGAGGTGACTCGGACTTCCTCATAGATCGATACGATTTACATCGTACATCGACCTCGTTTTCGTTGGCAACATGCAGTTTAACACCCCAAGTACAACCCAAAATGAAATATGTGAAACACGTCCTTTACATTTTTTTGGACAAACGACTAGTAACAAAATAATCAAGCCTAAATGATCCCTCATGCAATCACGTTTCGCGGGCAGTGACGCCAGTGCGAATCGAGAGGTGGTCTCCACTAACGTCAAAACGGACAACTAATAAAGTTTGAACAATGTATAGCCACTCCAGCCAGTTAAGTTGAAACCTTTATAATAATACAGCGAAGTCAATTGTCAAATGTCACCAACTTCCAGATGAATCGTTCTTCTGAAACTGTTGCACGTGGCCTTTCCCGCATTCCAAACTCAAACATCACAATCAACAACTACTTGACGTAATCTGGGCCACTTGACCAGTCCATGTTGTTATTAGGTAGTAAGCTTTCGTAGCATGCTGAAAATGTCCACTGTGGACATCTTAAGAACCTTCTACCTTGAAAAAAAGTATATTTGTTGTAATTGTATTGCTTTTTAGCAAACGTTGCTAAAATTCCATCACCCCTATCTAATAAAAAAAAATTGAACGGCAATGCCTTGGAATGTGGAAGATTTCAACACAAAAGCCGATAAAATATTATGATTTGTTAATATTTTGATTTAATACAATAGGCTTGTAATTTGAGTGACAAATTAATTGCCATGATGGCAAAAAAATATCAAAATTGAGAAACTCCCCCATTAAACCAGTGAGCAGTTCCAGATATATGAACTGCGTGAGTTTAATTTTGCGCCACACTCAGCAATATTCCAGCTATTATATGGCGGCCGTTCTTTTCAACAGGTACTCATTGGTACATCGTCGCATAATAACGTCTTCTTATCTTCACTAGCAACACAAATAGGTAAAATCAATATTTTAATTGCATGTAATTTATTTAAACCCACTTGAGTGTCCCACTTCTTTTGAATTAGATCGCGTATGCCTTTTGTAATGATCGGTTTGTAATGAGTATACGGAAGTAGATCCAGCTAAAGGAAGCAAACGTACCGTAAAACCCCATGGTCCTTAGAATGGTGATCTACCTTCGGTTGATAACAATATACTGTATCTGTGATTGTCTGGTTGATGTTTTAATGTAGTTCGTCAACAGGTTTATAATTTGTTTGTTTTGTGTCTGTTTTAGTTGCTGGCGATCTGTAGCCCGTTTTAATATTGGTTTGTTCTGTTTAGAAATCCATTTTTAGAGTTACAAGGTTCTGTGATATTTTCAGTTGTTTTTAACTCCTTGTCGACAGGTTTTTAAAATTTAAATCTATTTTCCATGTATTAAGAACTTGTTTGAGCCACTGTATGGCGGAAATACTACCGATGTGACAAGCTTTTATAATTCACTCAATGAAAACGTTACCATTAACCTGTCTTTGA